CGCGAGGAAGAGGGAACGTGCGGTGGGGCTGCCCCCGCTCCAGAGATGCCAGAGATGAAAGGAAGGTGGTGACAAGTGTGAACGTGAGTGTGTCATCTGTGCAGGGCCATTTGCATAAATATTGTTTGCAAAGAGCAATTAGCGGTTCATTTACATGCAGCGAAGCAGCAATTTGCACTTTTTCCGGAACAATTTCTGAGCCTCTGTGCGCACATTTGCTGCCTCGCGACTGGCCTTCTAATGGCAGGGCAGGACGATTTTTTATTTCTGGTTCTTCCCTTGGTTTCCTGGGGTCTATTTCTCGTGATAAAGGCAGTGGTGACGCAGGGCGGAGCTCTGCTGACACATCTGCCCGCAGCTCCAGACGGAGGCGGTTCCAGGTTCCTCCCGTGGCCCCTGTTCTGAGAAGAGTGACTGCGTCATCTGGTTCCCGGGTGCAGAGAGGGCCGTCCCTGGGGTGCGGGGTGCAGGTCACCTAACCAGGCAAGCTCAGGGCACGGGAAGGACACAGATGCCTCAGTGCAGGACGCTCGGGTCTGCTTTCCTGCCTCTCAGCCTTTACACCCCCCCTCCCCCAGTCCCAGTGAACACCTACCGCTCTGTGTTCAGGCCCCACCCTCCCGAAGGTTTCCCGCCTCACCCAGCAGCTGCGTCCTTCACCTGTTAAAAAAACTGATGCGCGCAGGTAAGTGCCGCTTACCTGGGCAGTGACCGGCCTCCCGCCGAGGGTCGGGCTGCAGGGAGGCTCGGCCTGAGCCAGGACCAGTGGCTGTGGAGTCTTAGTTCAAAGAGACAGGGCAGGTCTTGTGTCCAGTGACCCTGGGGGGACCGTGGAGCCCCCTGCCCAGGCCACACCGAAGACCCCGCCCTCCCCGTGTCACTAAGGGGAGTCGTCTCCTCCAGAGCCTGAGCTTTGCCCTCATGAGGGAGAAAAAATGTGAACTCTTCTACTAAGGCTTTGGCATGAACGTAACGCTGACTTTTAAAGAATGAATTTTGGAATTTCCCATATTTTTTCATAGACTGGAATTATTTCAATGACAGGGAATTCCCAACTTTTGAGGGTTAAGTGGAGCCCGTCTCTAAGGATGCAGAGCCTCGTGCCTTTTAAGGGGCAGATGTTACTCATTCCGTTCTCTAGCTTTTCCATTGGTTGCTTCCTTCTCAGGGGTCAAGGGGTCTTTGGTTTTGGCCAAACCCTCACGTGTAACAGCCTCAAAATGTTCCAAGCAGTCAACCTTCTGTGTAATGGATGGACAGGGTCTCCACTCCTGCCTGAGTTGGGGGGAGGAGCTGAATTTCCTAAGTGGCTTCCTTTGGTTGAATTGGGGTACTCAACAGTGGCACCCTGAGTGTTTCTCCAAGAGAGGGGCTGCTGCCACATGTACATCTTTTTTTTGTTGTTAATCCTCACTGGAGGATATTTTTTCCATCAATTTTTAGAGAGAATGGAAGGGAGGGAGGGAGAGAGAGAAAAAAACATCAATGTGAGAGAGACAATTGAGCATCAGAGGAGACACATTTACACTCCAAGGAAAGTTTTTCTCTGTGTACAACTGATAGAATCTTAAAACCACCGACATTCTTCAGTTTTGCAGAGGGAAGGTAAACGTGTACAACATCTTTAGATGCTGGTTTGGAAACTGGTTCTCTGTCGACGCTTAAAATGTGCTACCCCATGGCCTGGAGGTTGCTCTTCTAAGAAGTTCTCTTATATGAAATGCTGGCCCAGGTGCCCAAGCGTAGATGGACCAGGAGGTTCGCTCAGCGGCACTGGAACAGCAAACGCCGGGGACACCAGACACCCACATGAGAGGGGCGCACCCGAGAGGGGCGGTGAGGCGGCCCGGGCAGGGAGTCATTACTGGGGCTGGTCACGCAGTCATTAGGAAAACAGGACAGAGCTGTTGCGGGCAGGGACTGGCACCGGGGATACATTGTTGAATAAGGACTCTGAGAGCTGTATGTGTCGTTTGAAACATTGTATACATGGTGGGGGTGTTGAAACATTGTATACATGGTGGGGGTGTGGTGCGTGGTTAGCAACATGTTCAGAAAAGTAGACATCAGAGTGTGAAAAGTCACCCGGGGAGGGGCAGGGGCGGGGTGGGGGTGAGAAGGGGACCTTGTCTTTTTATCTTATACATCTGTACACTGCTTGATTTTAAAAATGAGCATATGTTACTTTGGCAATAAAACAAAAACACTTCTTAGTGCTTGCAACAAAAATGCTGATGCGATTTTAAACCATTTGGCCGTTTCTTTCAGAAGGAGCAACGCCGTGGCTTCCTCGCCCTGGGAATTGGACTAAACGTGACTTAGCCTTAAAGGGAATCGGGAAAGGCATTAATTCCATTAATGAATGCGCCGGCAGGCTCCTTCTCCGCAAAGGCTGTCTTAATGAGGTGCCAGGGCATCCATTATTTATCTTACAAATATCAACTCTGGGCCAAGCTTGTGGCAGGCGATTTAACAGATGTTCCTGCTGAGGGCATGCGCTGCAGAAGCATAAAGAGCTCCGGACCCACTCCCTCCTCCCACGTCCAGGCCTCGCCCCCCACCTCTCCGTGGATGACCCCCGAGCCGTTCCCACAGATCCCAGCTGCCCTGCTCTCTGACCTCCTTGCCTCATATGTCTCACATTCCACGACTACAGCAAAGAATCGTGTCAGTGCCTTGGCCGGTGCGGCTCAGTGGTTACAGCGTCCGTCCCAGGACTGCAGGGTCCTGGGTTCGAGTCCTGGTCAAGGGCACGTAGCCAGGTTGCAGGTTCGATCCCAGGTTGGGGCACACGTGGAAGGCAACCAATTGATGTCTCTCTCTTGCTTCCTCCCTGCCTCCCTCCCACTCTCTCTCTCAAAATCAGTGGAAAAAATACCATGCCGGCCTGGACTGCAAACCCCACTCCCACCTCACCGTGGCACCTCCTGCAGTCCCTCCAGAACCTCTTTCCCAGGCTCCTTAATGGGGAGCCGGGGCTGCAGAACCGGCCCAGGCGAGGCCCACACAGGCGGCTACTAGTCCCGCTGGTGGCGCAGAGCGTCGGGTCTGGAGAGACCGTCCCCTCTCCGGGTTTCCATCCCGCATCTCCCCCCGGCGCTCTTTTGCCCCGGTGGCCCGCAGGCCGGGGCCGTGCGCTCCCGCCGCCCTCCGGCC